GGATCCTGCGCCGGGGGACGGGCTGAGCCATGTGGGGCCGATACCTGGCGGCGCGGCGGCTGCTGAGCCTCAGCCGGTGAGGAGGGGCCGAGCGGGGGGCGCTGTACGGCGGGGGGGCGGCGGTCCTGGGCCCGATCACCCCATCCACCGGCTCATCGCCCGCCCCCAGCATCTTCCTCCCAGAAACCCTCCAGCCCCCCCACCATTCGTCTCCCTAGACATCCCCCCTTTCCCCAAACCCCCCATCCCCTGTGTTCTCCCCCACACCCCACAGCATTCGTCTCCCTACACATCCTCCCAGTCCCCCACCCCGTGTCCTCCCCCACATCATTCATTTCCCTAGACCTCCCCCTTCCCCCACCCCCTGTATTCTCCCCACAGCATTCGTCTCCCCAGACCTCCCCCCCACCCTGAGACCCCACACCCCCTGTATCCTCCCCCACACAGCATTCGTCTCCCTAAGCATTCCCCCACACCCCATGTATCCTCCCCACAGCATTTGTCTCCCTGTAACCCTTCTGTATATTGCCCTTCCCCCCCAGTTTGTGTGCTTACAGTACCAAACTTCCTGTTATCCCCTATAAATTCTACATTCCCCTTGTCCATATACACCCTAACATATCATCCTGACCTTCTCTAATATGACCCCCTCACAGTCCCTACTTCTGATAACACTCCATCGTGCCTGCCGTTTACACACATGGTCCTTATACCTACCAACATGCACAATTTCACCCCCTCTGTTAATCTGCTACAGAAACATCTCCCCTAGTCAGGTCATAATCCATCTGACACTGCCTCATAGAAACCTCTCCTTCACACTCCATAGATCTTAATCACTCTGTGGTCCCTCCTTCTAACTGTCCTTCCCAGCTACATTTCTAATATTGCCCTGACACACAACCTACCCCATCCTATTATCCAGAACTTGTTCAATTTCCTGATATTACCCCAGCAAAACTGTTACTTCACTTGAAGTCTTCTACCTCCTATAACTCTGATCAATGTGACATAACCCAATGATGCTGATTGCTCTCCCCAATGCTCACGTTGCTCCCTTAAAATATTGCATAATTCTGGGCCATATCTACACTGGAAAAACATCCACGAAAATTCCTACCAGTTCAGCAAGAAAAACAGACATAACTAACACAGAGGTAAAAATAGGTCTGGCCTCTGGAGTAGTAATTGCACTAGGGCTTTGCTGAACTGGTGGGAATGTTGTTGGTTTTGTTTTGTAATTTTCCCAATACAGACAAGACCCTAAAGTTGACACCCACCCTAACCAATGTTTGCCTCTTGTTTTAGGCCCCGATCCTGAAATGAGCTCAATATAGGCAGATGCCCATTGAAGTCAGTGAAATTTTGTGTGCACGGGGGAAGGAGGGGTTGTTCATATGAAGCTCCAATCTTGCAATAACTTTATCTTGTAAACTCTTCTAGGTAGGAACTTAGCATTTGTCTATAGCAGTGGTTCTTAACCTGTGGCTCATAGGCTGCTTGCGATGCAGTCAGCACCCAGTTGTGGCCCAGGTGACATCGTCGGGGCCATGCAGGTAGCATTGCATGCAGCCCACATAACACACATGCGGCCCAGAGTGGAAAATAGGTTGAGAATCACTGGTCTATAGGATGCAATATTCATAATAATACACCCTTTTCTCCACCCCCAAAATTAAGCACAGAAAGGGGATGGGGTAAAGAGAAACCTGCTTGTGCAGTTGCATCTTTTTTCAAAAAGAAAATTTTATTTCAGGACTTTGAATCAAAAGTCATGGAGGTGGAAGAGTGGGTCTGCAAATGAAAAAGCACTACAATACAAGATAGGAGAACGAATCCATGGGTTCACTGTAAACCAGGTACAATATTGTCTTTTTCTCCATCTCGCACTGTGAGCACTTTATAACTGGACAAAAGAACTTAGTGTAAGATGAACAGGAGTACTCGTGGCACCTTAGAGAATAACAAGTTTATTAGAGCATAAGCTTTCGTGGACTACAGCCCACTTCTTCGTATGCATCCGAAGAAGTGGGCTGTAGTCCACGAAAGCTTATGTTCTAATAAATTTGTTAGTCTCTAAGGTGCCACAAGTACTCCTGTTCTTTTTACAAAATATGAACTCTTCTTAGGTCGGGGAGGCCTATTTATTGTAGTGGAACTAGCAATATTTATATAGCTCTTTTCATCGGATATCCTTTTAAAGGAAGTCAGTATCATCCCCATATTACAGAGGGGAAAACTTTAGCACACAGAGTTGGAAGTAAGTTGGCCAAAATCAGTAATCTGTGCTAAAACGAGTAATAGGGCACTGCACTAAGTAGCTGGTTTCTATCTTCTCAATCTCATGCTCCTTATAATTTATACAAGTGGCCAAATTGTTCAAAGATTGTTTCCTATACCAGACAAGTATTGTTGGTTTCTATTGCAGATACAACTATAATTTCTGCCCTTCAGGTAATTGTGTTATTTAATTTATTTTTCTTGTATTTATTCACCTCTAATTCAACATGCTATGAAAACTATCTGCTAAAAATAGACTCGCACCACTTATGTTTTATTCACCAGCTAAGTTTTATTTACAACCTAAGGCTCTGATCCTGAAATTGATGCAATTTAGTGGCTTCTTGAGTTCCATTGAAATTAATCAGACTCCATTTGGGTGTGAGGGCCAGCTGCAGGAAGGGGGCATAAGTGCTTGATCTGGCTCTCTGAAACATGGAGGTACATAAGTACCAAATGGTCTTGGAAAATCATTTATAGCACGTGGAAGTATCTGTCAGTGACAGTGTACATAACAGTGCACTTTTGAGCAAATGGGAACACAATAAAATCCTAGGCATTTTTACATAGACCAAAAATATTTAAAAATTACTCCTTAATACTTTGTTTCTTAAAAATAATGGTGACTTTTTTGGTACTATATCAAAGGGTTGCAACATAAAACAACAAAGACAAGGAAGGTAAAGCATACTCGCATGTAAAACATAGTGGGATGACAGTTAATCCTTTGAATGTGCCTGACTTTAATATAATATTGAATTATATGGTGGTGTAATCTTCCCTATGAAATTCTTTGGTTTTGCTTTCCATTGTAACCTTAATTTCTTCTAATTTAGTTCTAATTGGCTTTGATATGCAGCAGAGGCTAGTGGGTTCTTTTCATAGTGTTCACAAATTATTTTACATAGAATTTATCTAAATACTAACATGGAGGTTTTCTTCCAATTTAGGTAACAGCTGTTCCTGAGCTATTCCTAACTGCAGTGAAGCTTAGTCATGAGAACACAGGAGCCAAATATTTACATGTGGCACGTGAGGACTCCAATAATTTATTCAGGTTTTCATTTTAATATTAATATTTATAAAGCACCTTCCATATGAAGATCAACCTGAGACCTGCAAACACTAATACAGCTTCATAATACTTGAACATTACTAATACTTTCCATTTAAGGAGCTCATAGTTGCAAGACTTAAAAAAAAATCCTATTTTACCAAAACTGTTGTAAAACTTAATTTCTCTTCTGTCTTTCAATTAGTGAAATGAGTTTATTTTTTCAGTAAGGAAAAATTCATACTATCAAATCCATTTCAGAATGCGTTATCAATTTCTCTTACGTTGATTGCTTATCTTTATAAACTAAATTGGTGTAAGACCCTCTTAAATGGATTTAAGACTTTCTACACAAGGGGGTTGTTTTTAACTTAAAGTGGTACAACTTTCATATGTAGTCAAGGCTTAATTCACACAACTTACCGGTAAGGTTAGTAACAAATATTGCTATAGTCACTGTCAAAAGGGGATGTACATTTACAATATTGGTGTTAGCTACTGTAGCTGTTTTATCGACAACCTTAGTTACTTAGTTTGTCTGCTGAACCGCATATCATGCACTGGAAAAACACCATATCTCAACCAAAAGGTATACGTTCTCCTGGCAAGCCCCCAAAAGTCCTCTAATTGTGAGCTTGGTAGTTTCCCCCCTTGAAAGAAATGATATTCCTGCCTCCCAGCTGCACCAGTATTGGAAGATTAGTTTAGTTACTAAACCATGCTGCCTTTCACATGAGGCTAAACTACAAAACAAATAATAGATGTGCTGTCTTTTGGTCACAAACCATTGTGTTGCATTCTTTTATAGTGTACAATTTCGTACGACCCCGTTGGACAGTACTGGTGTTCCACATATCCTTGAACACACTGTGCTTTGTGGTTCTCAGAAGTATCCTTGCAGAGATCCTTTCTTTAAAATGTTAAACAGATCACTGTCCACTTTCATGAATGCATTTACAGGTGAGTTCAAGATAACTAAAAGCATATAATTCAGCAGTTCTCAATCTGTGGGTTGGGAACCCAAAGTGGGTCGCGACTCTGTTTTAATGGGTTTGCCAGGGCTAGTTTAGACTTGCTGGGCCTGAAGCCCGAGTCCCACCACCTGGGGCTGAAGCCAAAGCCCAAGGGCTTTGCCTTTGCACCCACCTCACCCCCTCTGCCCAGGGCAGTGGGGCTAAGGGTTTGGCTTTCTTCCCCCTTTCCTGTCCCACTTGGGGCGGCGGGGCTTAGGCAGGCTCAGGCTTCACTCCCTCCTCCTGTTGTTGTGTAGTAATTTTTGTTGTCAGAAGGGGGTCACGGTGCAATGAAGTTTGAGAACCCCTGGCATATATAATATTGTTAATTATCTTTTACTTTATGATTATGACTTACTTCCTAAATTCCATGTTTATTTTTATTTGTTTTGCTATAATTATTTATAAGTATTGTTGAGCCTCTCTAATTACATTGACTGGGAGATCCATTGCAAAATATTGAATTTTATAAACTAGCAAGCAAACAAGCAAGACGGTGCTGATTCACAAATGTATTTTGTTCATTTGACAAGTATAGGTTAGTTTTCATATACTATTTGACACTTCATAGTAATATAAGTAAATGTTCTGTTAGCATCACTTTTACAAAACAGCCATCTTAGCGATGAGTTTCTTACTACAGTATCAGATGTTTGCTGAGGAGTGGAGAGAAAACATCACATTCTATAGACATTATTGGGTGCGTAAATTAGCGAGGTTCTACTCTGTTCCAGTTAATTACTTGGACAATAGAACTTAAAATGAAAATAGGAAGTGAAATGCACTGCAAACTTCCTAAAATACTTTGGTCATTAATATTTGACTTTGTTTGTATACAGCCAGTGATTACACACTCTACCCATTTTCAACACAAAATCCAAAGGATTTTCAGAATCTCCTGTCCGTGTATTTGGATGCTGCTTTTTTCCCATGTTTGCGACAACTAGATTTCTGGTAAGACTTGTACAGTTGGGTGTATAAACATTAAAAATCAAAGACTTGCTTATAATTTTAAAACTTTTACAGGCAAGAAGGTTGGAGGTTAGAACACGAGAATCCGACTGATCCTCAGACACCACTAGTCTTCAAAGGAATTGTTTTTAATGAAATGAAAGGGGCATTTGTAAGTTCTGGCTTTTATTATCAATGCTATTGATAAAGGTGCATTGTGAATATTTGAAGTAGTTTAAATTGCAGATTAACAATTTCATAGTTTCATTGAGTTTGAATAGCTCCACTATCCCCAGTATTAACCTCGTACACTCAATAGTAATATTGAAGATAGATAGAATAGGATCTATTTTGAAGAATAGTCTGTTGAAAACCTTATTATTTATATAAATGTAGTATTTAAATAGTGGATCTTGCTGTTCTCCTATCTTTTGAGCAAAGGTTGGAATTATAATGTTGCAGCAATCGGCCATTAGTCATCTGATTAAACAGTGATGACAACTTTAATAAAAATTGTTGTATTAAAGTCAGTGGAACTGGTGGACTACATGCTTGTGTAAGAATTACTTTTATGAGTAAGGCCTATAAGATCAGGTCTTACTGATAAATATTTTTAATCTTAAAATTTCTTCTGATGGCTTGCTAAAATGTATTTTTTTCCCCTTTAAGACAGACAATGAGAGGTTATTCTCACAACATCTACAGAATAAACTCCTTCCTGATCACACTTATGCTGTAATATCTGGTGGAGACCCATTAAGTATTCCTGACCTTACATGGGAACAGCTTAAACAGTTCCATGCCACTCATTATCATCCAAGCAATGCTAGGTACTTTAAATTGTTGTTACTAACTTCTTAGGTGATATACTGGGTTAGCCATGTATGTGTTTACTTGTGTCTCTCACAATAATGCAGGTATTTACTTTATATTAATGTTTACTATGTAAGGCATGGGGCAAAATTTTATAGCCCCAAGAATGGATAAATGGGTATGTATTTTGTAAAATTTTTGTCACTCATTCAAATCAAGCCCATATTGGAAGTCACAGAAAGATGTTATAATCTGATGGCTCTTCAGTGGCTGGTGTGACATGAGGTAATGATATCAGATTCCTACTGGTAGGTGTTGACAATGCTCAGCCATTAACTCTGTTGGTATATTTGACAAGGCCTGCATAGAAGCTAATAATTGACTTGACATGGAGACTTAAAGGTGATTCCTTCAGATAGAATTGAGGGGTATTAGTGGGGAAACTTGTATTGCTTCTGCCTTTTCTGAACCAATTCTGTGCATAAATAGAAATTCAGTTTAGAGGGCTGTCAATCCAGCAGATTTCATGAGAAATTAATTCAGCTATTGCGATGCTGACCTCCCAGCTCACATCCCGCTGTTTTGTTTTTCTTCTCAACCTGCTATTTCTAACATGTCTGAATATTGATCTTGATAATCCAATATGCTCTTCATAGGCAGCTCCTAGAGCTTGTGTAGAGCCCCTGTAAATCAATGATGCTTCTTGCAAGGGTCTGCCTCGGTGGAGCCAATTGAAGGATCAGGTCAAAATTTGTAACCTCATTGAGGCAAGGATTGTGAGATCTTATCTATTTAGCTGCTCGCAATATAACCTTGTTTCTCTTCTAGAAAAATAGTGTTTTGGGAATTTGGCTGTTGGGATTAGGTTGTTTGGACACACAACTATTTCCCCTCAAGAGTACTATATGATTGTCCTACAAACTAGCTGCTAGCTTCTAGTGCTCTTGACTTGAATGCATGAAACTGACTGGAAAATGGCATGGGCTCTTCAGCTCTGAATAACTTTCTGATTAGTGTGTGTTAGTTTTATTTCTGCAGCAGAATTTTTGGTGGCATTTTTGACAGGTTTTTGGGCCATGAAGACGCATTCATTTCTGCGTATAACTAACTCACTAGAAGATGCATGAAATTCAGACTTCATTGCTACTGTATTATGCATGCAGACTAAAAAATGAAATCCTAATCTTACATTTTAAAATGCAGGTTCTTCACTTACGGTAACTTTCCATTGGAGCAGCATTTGAAACAAATTCATGAAGAAGCGCTGACTAAGTTTCATAGAATTGAACCAAATACTGCCATCCCAGTACAGCAACTCTGGGATAAGCCTGTAAGTAAAGATAAATATACAAACAGCCTTTGTATTGCAGTACTTTAAATATTGATTCTGGTCTGCAATGCTATTCAACTTACTGTTGTTTGTTTTTATAAAACACTCAGACATTTTGTTTGGTTATAAAAGTGTTAACTGTCTTTGGGCCTTATGATAAATTTAAATGATTGACTTCTAGGTTCTGTATACTGTTATGTTTAGGGTCTCAATGATCCCTCAGTGTTTGAAGACTGCCACATTATATTCACTTATTAGAGAATTATCCATCTAGCAATTGACACAGAGTGTTGGGAGTTAGGAGAACTCCTGCTTTAATTTGCACCCAGAGTTAAATGGGATGGAAGTTAGGGCAGGATTTGTTTGTCCCTTTCTTTCTCAATTTCCCACTTGTAATGGAGATACTACCTACCTCTCGTGGATGATAACAAGCAAGGATGATGTATTCATGAATTTACAAGTTAACTCATTAACATGTGTAAAGTGCATTAAAATTTGTGGAAGGAAGACGCTATTGAAAGACAAATTATCCTTTATTATTAACTTCTGTTGGAGTTTAATGTTTTAAATAATTTTACTGCCTCTAGTTACTTATTTATTATACTTGACAGAGAGAGCATCATGTGAAATGTGGCTCAGATTCATTTGCTGCAGACCCTACAAAGCAGACAACTATCAGTGTCAGCTTCCTGTTGACAGAGTAAGTGTATTGAAAATGAAATTACAACAGAAGAATCATGCTTATTCCTTTAAATGAGGATCTTACTAAGAGTTTATTTCACCATGAGCATAATCAGCAGAATTGTTTACTGTAAGGATTCTCAAATTTGTTTCATAGTATGGGTCACCTCACATCCCATCATGACTGGGTGGCCCTGCGTGGAAATAAAGAACCAATACCATGTATTCTGTGGACCAGTGTTTCAATGGTTCACTGTATTCTAATTGGTTACATCTATGCAAACTTATTAAATGTAATGGGGTTGCCCAGGTGTACCTCAGCGCCTATTTAAACCAGTATAACCTTTATGACTGGCAATGATGTAGCAAGTGGAAAGAACCCAGTTTGACTCTAGGAGCCCAAGCTGCGCATACACAACTGTCAGTGACTTAAAAAAACAAAACAAAAACCTCTTCCTTCCCCCCCCCCACTTCCCAACCCTCCCCCTCTAGTTTGATACCAACAATAACTTAAATATAATACATAGTACCCCACAATGCCATTTTAAAGAGCACCATGCTGTAACACTGATTTTTTTTTTTAAAACTTACTTTTTTCCCTTAGCATTACAGATACTTTTGAAACTTTCACGCTTAACCTGTTGTCTTCCCTGTTGGTTGGTGGACCTAATTCTCCCTTCTACAAAGCCTTACTTGAGGCCAATCTTGGTACAGACTTTTCTCCTGATGTTGGGTAAGTGTCACAATTTACTTTGCTTCACCTTTTAATGACTGTAACTTCTGTAACATTAATACTGCTCTTGTTATAAAATTACTTCCTTTTTTGAAAAATACATCGAAGGTGGGGAGAAAGCTAACTCTTATTATAATTTTCATGCTATTTTTATACAAGAATCTTCTGGTGTATTTTACTCTTTTCCATAGTGGATCAGTGAAGTATCTTCAAGTGTAAATTATGACCTTGCAAGATACATAAATAGTTTTATTCCTGACTTACATTGATGTAATGGAGATCGGAATAAGGCCCATAATTCACAATCCATGTTGCTATTTTGCTGTTACCGATTACTTGCATACAATGTTTAAACAGTTGTTTTCAAATGTATGTTTGATTCTATACACTGGAGCAAGTGGATTGAAACCCTGTGGCAGTCTCTCGCATGTCAAAGTATATATTTTCAATATCCAAAACTATTTTATCTTGACATCTTAAGTGCTTTAGGATTACTTTGGAACAGTTAGTAAATTAATCTTTGGTAGGCTTTTATTTACTTATGGTGCTTTTCTTTTCTTTTTCTGATTGATTTAGTAATGAAATATCAAGTTTTCATAGTACAATATCTAAGTTACCTTGCATTTCCAAAAGTCTCTTGTAGATCTAGGACATTCTATAGATGATGTTTTGCAATATATTGAACAGAAAAATGGGACTCTATATATGAGTAAAGATACCCATGTGTATAACTGCTGGTAGGATCATTTCCTAAGTACTTAATGTTTTAAATAATTACACTTCATTCCAATTAAAATGACAGTATTGAGTATCTACTAGGTTAATGTGCAACCTCTTGGTAAGAAACTCATTGGTAACTTTCAATTTAGCTTGTATGTATTTATCAGTGCAACGTTAAGAAGCAGCATAGTCTACTCCTGAGAGCATTCTGTGCCAAAACATTAAACATTCTGTGCACAATATTTTAAAATTCTGCAAATTTTATTCCTCAAATAAATGAGGAGGCTCCACATGGCATTGGGGAGAGAGGCCACTGGCTGTACAGAGACGGCAGGCCACTGTGCAGTTCCCTCTGGGACATGGACTCAGCGGTGAGGCTGCACCCAACCCTGACATAGCGCAAGGACCGAGCCTGCCCCAGAAACAACCCAGGGCCTTGCCCATCTGTGCCAGGTGCACCAGGTGTGGGCAGGCAGGCTCAGCAAGGCAGGATCCAAATGTGGAGGGGCTTAGTGTGGGGGATCCAGGTATGGGTTGAGAGGATTCTGTGTGGGACAATCTGGATGCACGCGGCTCAGTGGGGGATTTGGGTGTGGGGGGGATCTGGATTCACAGCGGTTTGTTGGGGGGGGTCTGATGAAGGTGGTAGGGGCTCAGCAGGAGGGGGTCTGGGTGTGTGGGGGAAGGACGTGCTTGGCAGGGGGTTCTGGGTGTGTGGGAGCTCACTGGGGGGGGAGGGGTGTCCAGATGCTGGGGGAGTGGGGCTCAGTGGGGTCGGGATCAGGTGCAGTTGGGTGGGGCTCAGTGGGGTGGGGATCCAGGTACGGATGGCTTGTCAGCTTGGTGCAGGGGGGGTTCTGAGTGTGGGGAGTGAGTCAGAGCGGAAGGGTCTGGATATGAGGAGGTCTGGGGGCAAATGAGGGAAGCAGCTCCCTGTACAGGGATCCCTCCCCCTGCAGCTGAGGAGTGATGGGCACAGGAAGTGGGACGGGATGGGGAAGATGGATTTTTGCAGAGGTTTCTGCAGCTGAGTGAGAAATCTGGGGGTGGGTCTGACCTGCCCCTGTATGCCGTGCAGGGGAAGAGGAAGTCCTGTCCTCCCCAGCCCAGCCGGGACTAGCAGTTGAGCCCGGTGCAGGGTAGGAGTCACCAGCTGGGTCTTTCCCGTCCAGCTTCCTGCCCCACAGTGTTTGCCTCTCTGCTGGCTGCCCTGGGCCCCCGAAACATACTACTGGGAAGGGTTGCATGACCGCTCTTGTGGCTTCCCTTTGCTTCCCTATCAGAAAGTCATTTTTCTGCAGAGAAGCAAAAATCTGCGGGGGACATAAATTCTGAGCATGTGCAGTGGTGCACAATCCCCCCCCCCCCGCCCCCCCCCGCCGACCCCGCACCACCAACGCGGACACCCGACATGAGAACCCACACAGCTTGACGTGCA